TATTATTATTACAATTGATAAACAGAAAAATAAATTGTAATATTAATATACCCAAGGCAGAGTAGGCCACTAAATTTTCTTAAAGCTCACACACATTCCATCCAACATTCATTGTACTCTGTTTTAAAAGTCAAGGGAGGGGACTTTGGAACTTTTAGTTCATTCTGAAACAGAATTCCAAAAATGTTAGGTTCTGTATAACCCAGAAACCAGAGCACTTTTTTCCACCTTGCTCTTCAGCTTTTATGCGAGATGGTTGGACAGTGTTCTCGAAGCTACCAGCATGAGTTGGACCAAACTGCGGGAGGCAGTGGAAGACAGAAGTGCCTGGCGTGCTCTGGTCCATGGGGTCACGAAGAGTCGGACACGACTAAACGACTAAACAACAACCACTAGCATGTGGCCCTTGAAACGTTGCCCAGAAGGGAAGGCGGCCCTCAGTCTGGAAAAGGTTCCCCAGCCCTGAGATACACATGCACCTGTGCTGTGCCTGCATCATATGCCTGGTTAAATACTGGAGAATACTCATTCCTGCTTCCTTCCCATCCACTTCTGCCATCCAGAAATTTCAGAAGGCAGCAGGGCTCACGGGCTTATTCCCGAGTCATAATAAACGCAGGAGGTGAAGTGGGCTGGCATTTCAGACCCAATATTGGTTTAAGGCTCAATAGAACAGAATTCTGCTAATTTAGATCAGCCAGCAATTGGCTGGACAGCAACCATAGTTCTTCGTTCTGATGCTGCAGACTTGCTCCTGAATATTTCATGTCTGAACAATGCTTACACGATAAGTATAATTTTGAGGACAGGCGCTTTATTCTTTTTGACTACTGTTTTTCAATTCAGCCCAGATAATACAGAGACTATTCCTGGAAATAATAGACGAGATTAGGGATGAATTTCCAAATATTCTGAGACTCACAAGCTCAAACCAGGTAATGTTTCTGAACTAATACTAATACTATTTCACTATTATTTGAAAGTTAAGTTTCTTTATACAATAGTCTGTTAAAGACTGCATTTACTACAAACTCAGCAAAGTTTCAGCTTAATGTTTTACTTATACACAAAGTTAGAAAAAAAATTAATACATTCAGGGGAGACAAGTTTTGGCATAGCATACCTCCAGAAAGCTGCTCCACAGATTATTTTTTTTTAAGTATCATTTTTACCCAATGATGATAAAAACGATATTATTACTAAATCCCCAAAATAAGCATACCTGTGTGTGCATCTATTGAGTTTTGGCTAATTTATCCAAGTAAGCAAGGTTAAACAGATGTTTCTAAAGCAGTCTAATGATCTATGGCATACAATGTTCTTTAGTAAAGAGCCCAAGATTAGTAATGCTAATTTCCCCCCTTACTGGTGTTTCTGTGAATAATGGTCTAAAATACATGTCAACTTAGTGCATTTGCTGGAATGTTGGACTAGGAGGGACCAGGGTTCAAATTCCCACTCAGCCATGAAGTCACTGGGTGACAGCCCAGTCACTGCCTCTCAGCCTAACCTCCCCCACAGGGTTGTGGGGAGGGAGAGATCCATTTATGCCATCTTGAGCTTCTTGGATTAAAAGTGGGATATTAATATAATGAATGAATGAATGCAAGGGTCAGATGTTTGCAGATCTCATCATATATTCATTGTCCCCAATGGCAAACTATTACTACATCAGCAATGGGGCCCAGTGTGGGAATGTTTAATAGATTATTGTATTTTAATATTCTGTTGGAAGCCGCCCAGAGTGGCTGGGGAAACCCAGCCAGATGGGTGGGATATAAATAATAAATTATTATTAGTATTATTATTATTAGTATTATTATTATGGATATCATCGAAAACTATTTTATTCTACCAATTTGGGGTAGGGGGGAAAGCTGAATACTGAAACAAACAGTTTAAGAGCTGAGTCTTTGCTTAAATCAAGCCACTGTCTTGCTTAAAATATTTTTTTTGAAAAAGAAATTTGGTAGCAAACTTATGAATCTGCATTATCCCAAGTCAAACCATTGACGGTAGTGGGGATGGATGTTCCAGACCAGGTGCCACAGGAAGTCCTCCTGGCTGGAGCAACATTCATTCCCCTGTGTGCCCGCTCTGGACAAACAGGAAACGTTGTACAGTATTTGACTGCTTCAGTGATGTTACATCCTACACCCAGAGACATTGGAAATAAGGAAGATGGCACCAGTTGCAGCTATCTCACTTCACACTTGGCTTTACAGTGCTAGGCTGAGGGTGTACCAAGTGTCTGAGCTGCACAGTTTCCAGTGGGATCACCACCTACTGCCACTCATTTCCTCTGTTCCCCTGGTAAGGGAATTTCAATGGGAGGAGCATGTTTTGGAAGCTAAGCCTGCTGAAATTCATCTAGACAACTGTTAAAGGTACAGGAGCCTTGTCCTTTTTCACATCTGACCACATCACTTTTCCTCTTTCCCAGACACATAATGCATACTTAAAGTGAAATCTGGAATTTTCATGTGATCCCGAATGCTCTACCCAAAGGTCTTAATGCATCAAACTGGCTTTCTCTGTTCTAGGCCTTCCCCTTACCCCCCAGAGTACCGAAATTTGAGTATTTTTTCCCCTCTTTCCTTGTATTGACTTCTATTTCAGGACAGCAATCGCAGCGTGCAGTCAGGATCTGTCCTGGTGAGAGCCTTCTCTTCCGCACATGCAGTAATAACTACACATCTCTCCAGCTCCACAAAATCAGTTGCAGAATATGTCCAGCCACACCTTACATGCTTCAGGATCATGAACTATAACAAGTTGGTTTCCAGTGTAACCTTTATAGGAAACCAGGACAATGGCAGTAGGTGGAAAGATTGCATCTACGCCATACGGGCTAATCTTCAAGAGGTCAGGCTGTATCTGTTGAGGCAAAACCAAATCTCTAGACACGCTCATAATATCAGAGCCCGTGTCCCAAAAAGAGTTCACAACATTTCGATTGATCGTAATAGGTGCTGTGAATTCTAAATTAGCCCAATTAACATGTGGCGTTCCCGCTCCAGTTCTTACTGGCCCCACATTAACAGCATTGGAAGTGGTTCCAGTGGTCATGGGAACTGTAGCACCAGGTGCTGATCCACCCCCATTATTTTCTGGGAGAACTATCCCTTCAGCCCTCAACCCTTGCGACTCCACCTCCCAGTCCTCCGCTGGTCGTTGAATTATGCGCACTGTGGGCGCTGACGTCAAGGCTGGGGGTCTTTTATCTTTTAGTTAGGGGCAAGCTGCCTTCACATGACCGGACTTCCTGCAATAGAAACACAGTCCTAAAGAAGGAGTAAGTTTAGACCGGTCACCCTCCCCTGAGGAGGAGTCCTTGGAAGGCATGGGGTTAGCCCTGCTTTGTTCTTTAACTGGAGGAGCAAATTTCCTCGCTGGAGCTGACACCACTGGTCAGTTTCTGCTGGGCTGGCTTTTGTTGGCTAGATGGGACCGATTCAACTTAAAAGTGTGAGAGCCAGTGTGGTGTAGTGGTTAAGAGCGGTAGACTCGTAATCTGGGGAACCGGGTTTGCTTCCCCGCTCCTCCACATGCAGCTGCTGGGTGACCTTGGGCTAGTCACACTTCTCTGAAGTCTCTCAGCCTCACAGAGTGTTTGTTGTGGGGGATGAAGGGAAAGGAGATTGTTTTGAGACTCCTTAAGGGGAGTGAAAGGCAGGATATCAAGTCCAAACTCTTCTTCTCTAGAGGAAAAAACCAAGTTGCTTTATGATCTCCTTTCCTATCCAGCAAAGACCGCCCTCACTGGTGTAATGAGCATTTCTTATTCAGCACTAATTTATTTGGTAGGTTAGTAAATACTGTTCTTTCTGATCCTTCCTGTTTTGTGCTTCCCCTTCCCTTCAGCAAAGAATTGAAGCCATGCATTATTCTTCAATTACTGTGCACACTTTTACTGTGCACAGGTACCGGAGCGGTACCTGTTTATATACTTTGACGTTATCTACGTTGACGTGCTTTCAAACTGCTAGGTTGGCAGGAGCAGGGACTGAGCAACGGGAGCTCACCCCGTCATGGGGATTTGAATCACCGACCTTCTGATCGGCAAGCCCCACTCACCTCACAGAGTGTTTGTTGTGGGGAAGGAAGGGAAAGGAGAATGTTAGCTGCTTTGAGACTCCTTCGGGTAGTAATAAAGCGGGATATCAAATCCAAACTCTTCTACTCTTCTTCTTAAAAGTCTCTGCAAGTTGGGTAGCTTGCTCAAGATTAGCAGGGTGTCTGTCTGCCACAAGACTCGCTACTTCAGAAGGCAATTGTCGAGTAAACTGTTCCTTTAACATTAATTGCCTTAGGCCCTCAAAAGTATCCACACCTTCAGCAGAAAGCCAAAGATCAAAATTTAATGCATTACATGCGGTAAATCTCAAACCCTCTTTCCATAGTTTTACCCAGTCACTTAATTGTATATTATACCCAAAATCTTTTGCCCAGTAAATCATGACTGATTTTACCTCCTCATCTTTCAGGTGCTATTCAAGCAATAATTTATACATTTTAGACAGAATTTTAAAATCGTTATTCAATATTTCTTGTTGAAAGTTTGATTCTTTTTCACAAAAACCTTTTTCTTCAACATCTTGTTTGAACATTTCATTAACCTTGCACATCAGCAGAAACTGATGTAATCTGGTTTAATCACCAAATAAATAGAAAATGACAGAATCTGGCCATTAACTGCTGCGCCAAACAAGATGTTGTGAAGTATCTCCACGTGCATTTCTGCCCCTCTCCTGCTGCAAAATGCAGATCCCAAACCAAGAGAGAAGAAAGGAGCGCGGAACGAGATGTGCTTTACTTTGCACTGTTATCTCTAGGGTCCCGCAACCGTTTGAATGAGAACAGCGGGAAGAAGGGGGGGAGAAGCACAGTTGGTACATTCCACATTCTCCTCATGTTTCGACAAGAGGAGGAGCGAGTGACCCGAGAGCGCGTTTGGTATATGCCAGACCTTTTTAACCTGTCTGGGCTACGATGGTTTCCTGCAGAAATCAATGAATGGAGCGGTCTGGCCTGGTCTTCTCTCTCTCCTCCCCCCCCCCCGCTCTAGCAGCAATGGTTTGGCCCGAAGCGGAGGCTGTAAGAAGCGGCCGGAAGGGGAAGGGCGTCTCTTTTCCCGCTCTCGGCGCGCGCGAGGGAGGTGGCGGTTGAGAGAGCCGCTGAGGGCAAGTACCAAGCGGGGGGTTTGAAAAGCGCGGGAAGAGCTGTGGGGACTGGAGCCAACCAAGTGAGTAAGGCCGGGGGGGGAGAGGGGGCTCATATGTGTGGCAGTTGGCAAGGGAGGCAGGAAACGGAGAAGGAGCGCGGGCGGGTGAGGGGAAGTGCAGGCATGGAGGTTTCGCCGAGGGGGGGGGGTGTCGAAGTGAGCCGGATTCCCACAGCCTGCCGTTTCGTCTCTCCCTCGGAAGAATCCCGGGCTCTGCGCTTTATCTCCTCGCGGAGATGCAGTTCCCGGCAGCCCTTTTAAACGAACCGTAGCGCCCTGAGGAAGAAAGCGCTTCCTTCGAAGGCCGCCGCCTCTGCCGGCGAAAGCTCCGCGCGCGCCGCTTTAAGCTTCCGCGGGACCCCGAGGTATGAAGCCCCCCCCCCCAATAAATAAGCCCGGCGGTTAAAATTAAAGGCCCTACGCGCTCTTTTTTCTTCCCTTGCTGCCGGGGAACTGAGCAAGGCGGGCATGTAGGAGGCCTTACCGGCCCCTGAGGGAGCTCGTCCTCTCGCGCGAATGGGCGCGCAGAGGCTGCGGGGCCTTTTAGCTGCTGCTTAACGCGTGGTGGTAGTGGGGACACAGAGGCAAGGAATGACGGCGTAGCGTGGCCGCCTCGGATTCGCGCCCTGTCGAGCCTCAGGTTGGGCTTGACGGGACAGGCTGGCACGAGGGGGGCCCCCATCACTTTTAGATACGAAGCGGGGATATTTTGCACGTGTGGCAAGTTCGCTGTGAGCGCAAACACGTGCACAGCAGCTCTTCTCGCGTTGCTTTCTAGAGAGAAAAGGGTAGAGGTAAACAAGATTTTGTGAGAAAGAAGCCATAGAGGAAAGAAAAGTGGAGGATCTTTTTCTTACAGGCAGGCATATAAAAATTCAGTATGCTGAACTGCAGGAAATGTCTTCAGCTCTGTAATGTAGGTAAACTGTGTGTACAGTGGTACCTCGGGTTACAGACACTTCAGGTTACAGACTCGGCTAACCCAGAAATAGTACCTCAGGTTAAGAACTTTGCTTCAGGATGAGAACAGAAATCGTGCTCCGGTGGCGCAGCGGCTACAGGAGGCCCCATAGGTAAATGGTACCTCAGGTTAAGAATAGTTTCAGGTTAAGAACGGACCTCCAGAACGAATTAAGTTCTTAACCCAAGGTGCCACTGTATAGGCATGCAGGTGCAGATCTTTCCTTGCTTGCTTAGTTTTGGTTGCTTTGTGTCATCTTGCCTTCAGTGTTGCCCGTTCGTTTTGGTTGCTAATGAACGTGGTGTCAGAGAAGGCATAAAACAAATCCCCCCCTTGCAGCTTTTTCCTAAGCTAGGAATTGTTCCTAGCAGGCTTGCTGTATGTGGGACATCTTTAGCTTTGTTTGCCTGTGGCTCCTTGAAAGTCTTATGTGTAGCTTTCTTCTTTGTGTTCATTTAAGTTTTACAACTTAAAGTCTGTCTGTTTGAAGACTTAACGCTTCAACTTGACTGCAGTCCCTATTTTCACAAAGAGCAAAGGACCAAACTGGACATGACACAATTAACAATTTCCTGAGTGTTGTTTTTTTACAGTAAATCAGTGCAGACGCCTGAGCCAGTGGCTAAGGGTGGGACCCCCACAATGCAGTGGCATAGTGTGTAGTCTTCAAAGACTAATCTCATGCCAGTGCTTGGTTAAATCAGCCTCTTTACAAACTTCAAAATTACTGGGTTGTTATCCCTGGCATATTCCATATGTTTACTCGGCCGCACTGTATACCAGTACAGACAAAGCTTTCTGATTCAAGGAACCTATGGGAAAGAACTGGTGTATATGCACTTCTCTAGCATTTTCACTCTTCTTTACAACCACATGGGTTGGTGACAGTGTAATTTGCTAGTTTGCTCAGAAGTACATTCCACTGTTTGGGATGGACCCTAAAAAGGGACTGTTGATAAGAGCAAACTCCACAACCACTTTTGCAAGTGAAACCTCCTGGGATTAATGTGACCTTATGTGCTAAATGTGCACTATGCAGGTTCCCTCTTAAAAGATTGCATTATGTAGTTTCTATCTGTAACTGAGGGACTGTGTGGGCTACTTTTAAAGCAAAATGATTTGCAGTCATACAAAAATGGCTGGTTCATTGTATCATTGTTTATTTTTTATTTTTCAGGTATAGGCAAAACCCACACAGTTTTGACGAAACATTTCACTTCAGAATATAAGGTATGAGTACATTGTGTTATTCTATGTTTATATACTTCTTTAGCGGTCCGAGAAGCCCTCTTGAGGGTCATTCTACACCAGGGGTCGGCAACCCGGAGCCGCAAGCGGCTCCGGGGCGGAGGCGAGGGGAGGAGGTGCATTTTCCGCAAAGCCATTTCCGAGCTAGAGAGGAGAGGGGGTTGCAGGTTGTTCCCGTGCAGTCGCAGGAGGAGTGGGCAGCTGAATAACCATACCACGAGGAGCGTTGCGAGTGTACTCAAGGCGCAAGAGGGGTAAAGTAACCGAGGGGAGCGCCCCTGCCCTCAGCTCGCACCCTCTCCCTTCCTTCCCCTCACGGTGTGTGGGATTCCACTCCCGGCAGTCCTTCTCTGCCGTCCTCGCTGCTTTCCTTCCCCCCCCCCCGCTTTTCTCCCTCTCTAGCCTCCTCTAGGCGTGGGTTGAAGCTGCGGCGTCCATTTCTTTTAAGGGCATCGATAAGGGGAAATCGTCGGCGCCATCTTTGTGGGCGCACGGAGTCGCGGGAGCGGCCATTTTGGTTGAGGGCTGTAAGCAGGCTGCATTGAAAGGGGGCATGTAAGCTGGTCACTGTTTTGAAGGGGAGTGAAGAGCACACACTCAAAAAAAGGTAACTTGTTAATTTAATGTTTATTTCTATGAGGAGGAGTAATTCTGAGGGGTCAAACAAAATAATAATAATAAAGTGTCAAAAAAGTTATTTTTATAATGACGAGGATGATATTGGGCCCTCATTATTAATTATTATTTACATCAGGCACTGATTATGATTTATGGTACACTGGGGCCCTGATTAATTTTCTATGGCATTTTGGGGCATTGATTTTGCTATGGGGCCCTCTGATTTCTAATTACGTCCCTCTTTTGGACCCCTGGTAGGCCAGCCATGGATAAAGGCAAGAAAAGAAACATTTCTGAAGAAAACAGAATGTTTAATGATACATGGACAGAATCATTTGCCTTCTCTACTGACAAGACAACATATGCTAGTTTTGTAGCCGCTCAGGAAATAGTCAAGCACGGTAAGCCGTTCACAGATGGAGAGTATATAAAAGAAGCATTCATTAAGATTTCGGAACATCTATACATGGACTTCAAAAACCAGAATGAAATTGTGCAGAAAATCAAAGACATGCCTCTGTCTGCGAAGACTGTTAAAGACAGAACCCTAAAAATGGCAGAAAACATTAGCAAACAGCAAATTCAAGACATTAATTCAGCTGTGGCGTACTCCATCGCCTGTGATGAGTCCAAAGATAAAGGTGATATTGAACAAATAGCGCTGTTCTGCCGATATGTGAACTCTTTTGGGCCACAGGAAGAACTGATTGAGCTGATACCACTAAAAGACCAAACAAGGGGTGAGGATATCTGTAAGGCTGTCCTGGACTTTTTAAGTGCTAAAAAAATAAACACCAACCACCTGGTCTCAGTGACTACTGATGGGGCACCGAGCATGAGAGGAGCACAGAAGGACTTTGTGGCTCTACTGCAGAAGGCACTGGGTAGAACGCTGCTGTCATTTCATTGCATCCTGCACCAAGAGGCATTGTGTGCTCAAACATTTCCCCCCGAATGCACAAAAGTGATGGATGTGGTCATTCAGATTGTTAATAAGATAATGGCAAAGGGTTTAAACCACCGCCAGTTTCGTTTGTTATTGGATGAGGTGGAAAGCACATATTCTGACCTCCTGCTCCACAACAAGGTCCGGTGGTTGTCCAGAGGCGAGGTGCTAAAACGCTTTGTCACATGTTTGGAAGAAGTAAAAACCTTCCTGGCCAGCAAAGAGCTTACCTTTGCTGAGCTGGAACAGCCAGAGTGGCTGGGAAAATTACATTTTATTGTAGACATGACAGCTCACCTAAACACGCTAAATACAACCCTTCAGGGGAAAGGAGGCACAGCCCTGCACATGCTGGAGGAGGTTATGGCATTTGAGCGCAAGTTGACAGTGTTTGTCAAAGATTTCCAGAGAGGTACACTGTCTCACTTTCCCTCTTTGAGAGAGTTCAAACAAAGTCATGATACGGTAAATTTGGAATATTTCAAGTCTGCAATCACCGCAATGCAAAGCTCGTTTGGGAAACGATTCTGTGGGTTCAGAGAGGAAAAAAACACATTATCCTTCCCTGTCACTCCCCTGGCGATCGATCCATCCCTATTGAATATGACTGCATTTGCAGGTGTAAGTCAACCTGATCTTGAGCTGGAACTGGCTGATATAGCCGACAAAGATATATGGATGTCCAAGTTCAAATGCTTGACGGCTTCTCTTGAGGATGTTGCCCGTCAGAAGGCCATTCTGGCTCAGAATCATAAATGGAGTGATATTGAAAACCTTCCCAAACAGGACAAACTTATATTCGAAACATGGAATGTCATCCCCAACACTTATATAAACATGAAAAAGTATGCATTTGGAGTCCTGTCGATCTTTGGTTCCACATATGTATGTGAGCAGGTCTTCTCCAACATGAACTATATTAAAAACAAACATCGATCACGCCTCACAGATGACAGCTTGCAAGCCTGTGTGAAAATGAAGGTGACGTCTTACAGCCCTGATGTGCAGACACTGAGCACTGAGGTTCAGCAGCAAAAGTCCCATTAACCTGGTTACCTGGTTGTAAATTAAATATTTTAATTAGCTATTAATTTGTCCTTTTTTTCTTGAGATTGACAGCTGACTGCACGATCCTGTATATATAGCATTAAGGTAAGAAACAATATATGCAGTGTTATATTTGTTTTAAATGTCGCAATGGTTTTGCGGCTCCCAGTTGTTGTTTTTTCTTCGGAAATGGGTCCAAGTGGCTCTTTTTGTCTTAAAGGTTGCAGACCCCTGTTCTACACCAAATCACCTGGTGCCATGTGCTCTCAAAACTTTTTCTTCCAAAAAAAATTATGTGTAGATACCTATGAGATAACCTCAAATGATTTTTTTAAAATTAATCTGAGTTGTGAGAGCACAACTGAGTATTAAAATACAGTAGGTGATTTGGCATGGAACGACCCCAATAGTAATCATGCTCACGTGTTTTTCACATAATACTTATATGGTTGCTATACATCGTACAGTACTTACTGTGCACTTCAGAGTTGCACAAATTCTTTGGGTGTTTGCCTTTTCTGTGCCTTCTGCCATGGCTGAGTAAATGCTTTGACTTTCCACCTCAGTGTGATTATTGGCTATGTTCACCCTGGCCTAGGCACACATTTAGTCCACAACACTTTGACATTGATCCACATTTTGCAGCATGTAATTTTGCCTTTGTGTTGCCCATTCATTACTTTGGCTAGTGAATGTGGTGTCAGAAAAGGCATATATTAACTTTAGCTGTCATACTACCAGGAGTTGGTTATGTACCTTCTCTGTATTTCAGCTAAAACACACCATTTGTGTTGGGTCATTCTATGTCATTTCAATGAAGGCATGTCACCCTCTGTCTCGGATGTTGATGAAATTTGGTGTACACCCTTCCCCTGTGGTTGGAAGAAACCCCCTTAATTTTTTCCTCTGTCTCAAATGGTTTTACCGTATTTTTCGCTCTATAACACGCACCTGACCATAACACGCACATCGTTTTTAGAGGAGGAAAACAAGGGAAAAAACATTCTGAATGAAACAGTGGATGTATCATTTTTGTGCTTCATGCTGTGGCCACAGACATGTGATCTGATGGTGAATTTGGGGTGACCCAATGCAAAGATCCTGAGAATCCCTGTGGATCCATGCTTTGTAACCACATTTTTGCACCATTGCAGCCCCAGGCAACAGTGGGTGCGTGCTTTTTTTGGTGCAGGCTGTAGCCATGGACATGCTATGTGATCTGATGGTGAATTTGGGGTGACCCAATGCAAAGATCCTGAGGATCCATGTGGATCCATGCTTTTTAACCATGTTTTTGCACCATTGCAGCCCCAGGCAACAGTGGGTGCGTGCTTTTTTTGGTGCAGGCTGTAGCCATGGACATGCTATGTGATCTGATGGTGAATTTGGGGTGACCCAATGCAAAGATCCTGAGGATCCATGTGGATCCATGCTTTTTAACCATGTTTTTGCACCATTGCAGCCCCAGGCAACAGTGGGTGCGTGCTTTTTTTGGTGCAGGCTGTAGCCATGGACATGCTATGTGATCTGATGGTGAATTTGGGGTGACCCAATGCAAAGATCCTGAGGATCCATGTTGATCTATGCTTTGTAACCACATTTTAAGTGGGGAGCGAAGGAAAAACAAAGAAGGGACATGAGAGGGGTGTGCAGAGAAGCAGCTGGCTAAGAATGCTGGAGAGGGATTTGGGGTGGGAGGAAAGAAAGGCAAAAGTTCCCCCCCAAGCCAGCCATCTCTCTCTCTCTCTCCCTCCCTCCCTCCCCCCTCTCTCTCCCTCCCCCCTCTCTCTCCCTCTCCCTCCCCCCCTCTCCCTCTCCCTCCCCCACTCTCTCTCCCTCTCCCCCAGCAGCACCGGAGCACAGAGAGGAATTAGAAAGAACTACACTCTGCTTGCCTGGAGGGGAGGGGCTTTCCCTGCTCTTTGTTCCGTTTCAGCAATCACAGCAACGAAACAGAGGAGGGTGGGCAGTAAGACCCTGAGGCAGAATGCAGGAAAGCTGCCACTTCCTCTTTTCAGGTTTCCCTTCTCCGTGACTCGCGGTTTGACTTTTGCTTGATTTTTTGGCTCCAGGGACCACACATTCGCTCTATAACACGCACAGACATTTCCCCTTCCTTTTTAGGAGAAAAAATCTGCGTGTTATAGAGCGAAAAATACGGTAATTTTATAGCACTATCTGTTGTCTGTCCCTCTTGAGACCTTCACCAGAAGATACCCTTGTGCACATTTTTTTTTCTCCATAACCATTGATCACATCTCTGAAATTTTACACAGAGCTCAATAAAATGATGAGATTTCAGAAAAAAATACACCAGCACTCAAGATTTTATAAATGCACTTACCATAACAGATTATGCTATTATCACAGTTTATTATCTTACAAGTTCAATGATCCTCAGTTTCTTTGCTGTAGCCTCAGTATCAGCTGCAAGATTTTCATTTTTTTCTTCCATCAACACCATACACTTGTTGGGAAAGAAGTATCTTCTGCCAGTTATTGTCTTTGGGAGTTGTACAATACCAAGCGTGTGAGGAAATGGTTTTACTCAAGAATTGTCATGGCTAGGCCAGCAGAATGAAGGCGAAGGTCCATTTGGGTGAATAGATTTTACAAAAGCATCTCCATCGTCTTGATTATTTTCCGATAGCATTCCAAAGTACCACAAATGATCATACTTACTTGCAAGTTACAAAACATCCAGGATACAGATCATCAGCATTCACAGGAAGCTTGGGGAGGCTCCTCAAGTTGAAAGTGAGGAAGGGTTCTTTATCGGTGCTCATTCTTCTTGCTTCAGTTGTGCCTGTAGAATTCAGTGGTTTAAAGTTGTGGAAATTGTGAGTTCCAGGGAGTGTCTGCACATCTCTGAAACAGGTTTCAAGGGAACAGCAGATTATGTCTACGTCTTCCCTTGCAATATAATGGAATTTGACCTTTTCACACACAAAAATCACAGAAATCAAAAAAAATATTTTTGGAGTAGTAATCTGCTTCTCAAGGGACGCGGGTGGCGCTGTGGGTAAAAGCCTCAGTGCCTAGGGCTTGCCGATTGAAAGGTCGGCGGTTCGAATCCCTGCGGCGGGATGCGCTCCCGCTGCTCGGTCCCAGCGCCTGCCAACCTAGCAGTTCGAAAGCACCCCCGGGTGCAAGTAGATAAATAGGGACCGCTTACTGGCGGGAAGGTAAACGGCGTTTCTGTGTGCTGCGCTGGCTCGCCAGATGCAGCTTTGTCACACTGGCCACGTGACCCAGGAAGTGTCTCCAGACAGTGCTGGCCCCCGGCCTCTTGAGTGAGATGGGCGCACAACCCCAGAGTCTGTCAAGACTGGCCCGTACGGGCAGGGGTACCTTTACCTTTAATCTGCTTCTCAAGGGATCTCTGAAGACTCTTTTCTAAATAGAGTAAAACAGACACATTGGAACCTCCTTTAATTAGGAACATGTCAAATACCGAACTCTTGGTTGTACATAGTAGCAGAGCCTCTTGTACCTAAATTTAAGTGTCACACACAAAAGGTGGAGAGAGCTGTCAAGGAGGTGACAAAAGCAAGCCTGAATGTAGTTGGTATGAAGCCAAGTGATGCAACTATAAAGACATCAATGGAGAACTGGATCAGATATCCAAAACAGGAATCAAAGGATTTTGTCCCAAAATAGTTCATTCACAGCTTTATTTTTATGTGTTCTTGAAGTAATGTAAATGTAACTTTACATGTCATTATTAGTATTAAGTAATGTAATAATAAAAGTTGGTATTCAATACCCACGTATCCAGTTGCTTAAATGTAGAAATAATTGTAGGATCGTATGATGAAGAAGAAGAAGAAGAAGAATTTGGATTTGATATCCCGCCTTTCACTCCCTTTAAGGAGTCTCAAAGTGGCTAACATTCTCCTTTCCCTTCCTCCCCCAAAACAAACACTGTGAGGTGAGTGGGGCTGAGAGACTTCAAAGAAGTGTGACTGGCCCAAGGTCACCCAACAGCTGCATGTGGAGGATGGAGCATGTATGAGTCACATTTGGATTTAAATGTCAATACTATCATCATTAAAATGTTTTTTAAGTACTGTTTTTTGTTGTATCAATTTGTATTCTGCATCTTTTATTGTTCTCTAAAAAAATGCAATTCCTGCAAAATAAAACTGAATTGGTCATAAAGTGACAAAAATAGCTGTTTATTTGGACATTTTCCTATGTTGCGAAGGCTGAAATTTCAATTCAGTGGAGGAGGGTTAAGATATATGCATGAAATTTTAGATATACAGTGGTGCCTCGCAAGACGAAATTAATTCGTTCCGCAAGTTTTTTCTTCTTGCGAGTTTTTCGTCTTGCGAAGCACGGTTTCCCATAGGAATGCATTGAAAATCAATTAATGCGTTCCTAGGGGAAACCGCTTGCCAGGCTGGCGGTGCGGAGAAGGGCTTTTCTCCCCACCGCAAGCCTTCAGGACAGGTACGGGAACAGAGGGGAAGGCGCGCAGCGCTTTCCCTCTGTTCCCGGGGCTTGCGTGGGAGGAGGGTTTTTCCTCCCCACCGCCAACATTCAGAACAGCATTCTGAATGTTGGCGGTGGGAAGGAAAACCCTCCTCCCACCCCAAGTCTTCAGGAAAGCCATCCGAAGCCGGGCGGCGGGAGAAGGTGTCCCTGCCCGCCGCCCGGCTTTGGAGCATCGTTCCAAAGCCGGGCGGCGGGAGGAGGAGTTCCCGCCCCGCCGCCCAGCTTTGGAGCTTCGTTCCAAAGCCGGGCGGCGGGAGGAGGCGTTCCCGCCCCACCGCCCGGCTTCGGAGCATCGTTCCGAAGCCGGGCGGCGGGAGGAGGTCCGAGGACAGTGGGGAAGACGCGCTGCGCTTCCCCGCTGTCCCGGAGATTTCCCTATGGGCTTTCGTCTTGCGAAGCAAGCCCATAGGGAAATTCGTTTTGCGAAGCGCCTCCAAAACGGAAAACCCTTTCGTCTAGCGGGTTTTCCGTCTTGCGAGGCGTTCGTCTTGCGGGGTACCACTGTAGCTCTATAATCCCTATTGTAGTAAGATAAGACCTTTGGAGCAGGCATTAATTTTTTGTTATGAACTGCCTTAACTTTTATAATACACTGCTACAGGATGCAAAGTACAAGAATCAGAAGTCCAGTGGTACCCTTGTAGCTCATCTTGAAGCCTTCATACAATTCTTGTAGGTTGTCCATTATTAGCCGCTTCCTATGGTACTCTTTTCCAATTCTGACCACATCTTTCATTCCTGGCTTTATTCTAGACTTCTCACCACTGTGATAAAAGTTTAGAACCTTGCTTACAGTTTCAGATGGAAGCTTTTTTCCACCTCTGGGATCTGGTTTAGCTAAAATTCCTTTTTCTTTAAAAAGCTCCTGTGCCTGGCAAACTGAATCACTGGGGAATATTTTTTTTTCTTCATTTTCTGTTGCATAAGAGTTTTCAAGGGTTCTTGTATGTTCTTTCAATGCTGATTTCAAATCTGAAATTGATTTTTGTGTACATGCTATAGTTATCTTTCAATTTCTGACTTTTGCTGATAGGTCATATTTACACTGGGGAGAAGTGGACAATGACACATTGATCTACCTTAACCAACTTAATTTTTCTTTATTTTTATAGTTTTTTAACCTAAATATTTGTATTTTTCAGATCAGACCATGGCTTCTTCAAAATGTGTAAACAAGCCTGATGCCTTTTGTTATGCATGTGGCTGCTACACACTTCCTTGTCAGAGAGACAATATAACAGCATTTGTGAGGCGTGCCTATAAAAGCTGTTTTGAAATTCCCCTTGGTGACCAAGACAAGAAATGGGCTCTGCATATTGTTTGTCACAATTGTGAGGAAATGCTTAGAGACTGGCCAAAAGGAAAACTGAAGAGTATGCCTTTTGGGGTTCCCATGGTTTGGCGAGAACCCAAGGATCACACAAGTGACTGCTATTTTTGTCTGGTCAATATGAAGTGTATTGGCAAGAAAAACCGACATGCTGCTGCCTATCCCAGTATTCCTTCAGCAATTAGGCCTATCCCACACTCTGAGGAACTCCCAATTCCAGTTTTTAAGGGGTTTGTCTCTTCTGAAGATGAAGGAAGTGAACATGGTGAGGAAGATCGTGAGGATTTTGGGAGGGTGCATTGAGAAATGGCTATAGAATCCGAAGACAACTCATTGAGCAGCAATCAGCCCCACAGCTGTTTGGCCAACGGGAACTGAATGACTTAGTGCGTGATTTGGGCCTCTCCAAGAAGGCAGCTGAGTTATTAGCATCCAGGCTGCAAGAAAAACATCTACTGCACCACTCGGCAAAAGTGACATATTTCTGAAAGAGGGACCAGGAGTTTGTGGGCTTCTTTTCAAAAGACAAGCACTTTGTTTACTGTCATGATATTCCAGGCCTTCTCTGCCAATTGGGCATTACATCATACAATTCAACGGAATGGCGCTGATTTCTTGATAGCTCTAAGCGCAGTCTCAAGTGTGTTCTCTTGCACAACGGAACGTGTATGGAGTGGTTCCCGTTGGTCACTCATTGATGATGATGTGGAGGTGAAAATGAGTGAGGAAGATGAGGGTGCAAGTAGGCTGAATTTAATAAGCCCCAATGGACGCCTACAGACCTGGAAATGCATGGAATCCAGCAGAAAAAGAAATTGACAGTGTGTGAGTAAAAAGAGAAAATTAAGGTACAGCACATAGTTATGGACTATGCCCCACTGAATTCAGTGGGATTTTCTTCTGATTAAACATGCCCAGTCTTAAGTTGAAAGAGGAAAAAACATGCTTGGGCAGGATATTAAGAGAAACACAAATGTGAGGAGTGGGAGCAAGGTACAGGCACTTTACTTGAGGTAGGCTTCATTTGCTTTCAGGTAGGTAAAGGTGGCGGCTTTGCTGGGTTGTATTCCAACAAACAAGTGAAATAGATTATTGGAAATAGGGTAGGTAGGCAGGGTTAAGGCACAGTGGCTTGTCCATTACGTCAGCAAAATAACACGTGTACCTTGACATATACACCCACTTCATTCTGTTCCTGTTTTGCCAGGGTCTCGTTTTCTATTCATACACTCTCCTTATTTTTCCCATCTCCTGGGAAGCAAGGCTTCAAATCATCCTGGACATGAGAAGTGCCATGAGAACAGATGATTTTGGCCCCATGACAACAACTGTCTCACCATTACTGATCATCCATGTGGGGTGTAGCTATTTTAACTGCATAGAATCATGTGTGCCCCAAAACATATTAGCTGCTGCACAAGGCAAAAGCCATAGATACTTCTACACTTCTGCTTGATGGGAGAAAGTGGTCCGCCCAGGCCAATGAGTAATAATAATAATTTATAATTATTTAAACCCTGCACATCTAGCTGGGTTCCCCCAGTAAGTCATTCACAGCTATGGACCTGGTTATTGACCTTGCTGCTCCTGGATCCACTGCAGCATGGCAGGCAATTTGACAAGTGGATTAATGCTCTGCTCTTCCCATGTGTTTGGTGAAACAGGTGTCGGGTGGTGAAGCTATGTTCGATAATTAATAGTTCACAGTGACAAAGGTTTGATGAGTTTGATTAGAAAAAAATGCCAAAATAAATTTGACTAGGGCAACCTTCAGAAAAATATGGTCACTCACAGTGGACCAAATGCAAGATGTCCACTTAAATGCTCTAAAAATGAATTTACCACCCTTTTCACATAACTGAATTGACACAGCACATAGTATGTAAATACAGGTTTCCAACATCAAGAAATTAGTTTGACATCAAACTAAAAAACAAAACTAAAAAATAAGATGACCACCAGTTAATAACGACTTCAAAAATTAGGGTAACCCAAATTCATTTCTTGTGGCACATTTTCTGTTTGGTTGCCAGATAATTAATAGTGGATTGTTTTCTTCTTTTGCAGGAATATGTATCTACAGCATCAGCTGCAACATGCTAGCAGAAGCCTGTATTGAGAGGGAAAGTAATGTGTAAATATTACTTGTTGGATTGTGATAATTACACCTTGAAAGTAAATAGGGTGAACATGCCTTGCTCCATTGCAACCACCAGACCACAGACAGACTCTTGTTGATGGTATATAGTTTCCAATCTATTGTTCCAGTAAGTTTTGCACACGGGTTTTAAAGTTAAAACATGGATGCAGATTGGGATTGAAAATTAACACCTGCCACTGAAGTATCAGTAGTTTAACATGATGTGGCTTATTCTGCTCAACTTCTGTATCAGAGGTAATTTCATGTATAGGTATAAAGAAACATCTGTGCACAGCATCTGTGTATGTTCAATTTAAAAATAAATCAATTTCTTAACACCATGGTTGCTAGATGCGTCTTTCTCATCCATAAACAGTGTGATACACACAAAAAAGCTGCCACCATAAAAGTTACTAGAAGAAAAGCAAAACTAAACCAGTGTTTGTTGGCAATCCAAAGTTCTCCCCAGCAATTAAGATGTTCTGCCGTTTGCAGGAGATTAAAAATGGGAGGATCTCAAAATTGTAAAACCAAGTGGACAGCAACAATGAGCTAGCAGGAATAGAAAATGAAGGGTTTGACCTTCATCCCTTGTTATTTAATCATCCAGTTTGCTTGTTTCCTTGGAGTGGAAGGATGGAGAAATGAAACCTGTACTCTTTTGATATCCAGAGTTGGTGCTATTGTAATGCCTTCCTCCTTGCCATTCTTTTCGTCTGTTTCTAGACCCTGTACATTAGGAAGCAACATCTGGAGGGCCATATGCCCCTCCCTGCTCCTAAACATTGGTTGCTTAAGAATATTTCATTATATCATAGCACCTTATGTCAAAGGTGGTGGCAACTCATTTCAAAATACTATAGCTACACCTTTTACAGCTAAACACTTTTCTCTGTTCTAAACTCTATAATTTGATGCCTCATTCATAGCTCTATGAACTTCCCCAACCAGATGCTCTGCAAATATTTTTGACTTCATTCTTATGATGAGATTTGTAGTCATTGGAAGGGTACCAGGTTAGGGAAACCTGCTCTAGAACCACAGTAAAAGATCCTAAAACCATTGGCAACAATAGCATGAATCTTAAGGACCTAATTTTAGGACATTAAAAATTGGAAGGCTGCATACAAGACAGTCTGCTTTTGTGTAACCAAGCAGGATGTAATAATCAACATTGCTGTGAATAAGAATGAGATTGCTAGGCAAGTATAGGCATATGAATTACAGTCCTTACTCTTAAATTCAGAAAACATTTACTATTGCACATTTGGCAAGTACATTGCTTTGTATCTTTGCTGATACTTCCATTTTTTGAATCAAGTCACCCAGGGCATTGTCCATGGTTAACAATCGGCTGTAACTGGTTTTTGGAACTGGAGTAATTATTATCTAAAGCCTTTACTTTCATAGATCTTCCAGTAAGCCAACAGCTGTTTTGTTCAATCCTCTGATCTTATTGGTGTTATCCTTCAGAGCAATTTGCCTCGTCCTCAAGAAATATTTCATAGTTTAAATCTTTGCTTTAATTTGGGTCAAAAATCCCATCTGTGCAGTTTAAGTGTAGTTGGACTTCTGTACCATTTGAAAATGCCAAGGGGCAGCATCCTCTCAGTCCTTCGCTAGAAGAATCAAGTCTCTGTCTTAAGCCGTGAAGCTTGTACAATTTTTATTGTCTTTGCACTGTGCTTTCCATCCAGGTTGTTGATGGGCGCCTGTGCCTTTTCTTCTATTAGGCTGTCTTTAGATCCATTTCGCCTCTGAAGAGAAAGAAAATGCATTACTAAAAGTTCAGTGCACAACCGATGAGAATTAAGTCACGTTCTGTGTTCTGGTTACAGTTCTGCAAAAGGAATTACTGTATTTTTCCATATATAAGACAATGCTTTTTGCTTATAAAATTTAGTCAAAAATTGGGGGACATCTTATACATGGATGGTGAATGCACAGGGGCTCTGGTTGTGGCTCTGATGCTGGTGCGGGAGGCCTGGCCTGGGCTTGGGTTCAGGCTCTGACATGGGCGGCCTGGACTCTGGCTCTTGCTCGATTTCTTAATTTTGGGTCAAAAAAAATATGGGTTGTCTCATACAAGGGGGACTGTCTTATACACAGAAAAATACAGTACTACAGTCGTACCTCAGAAGTTGAACAGAATCCGTTCCAGAAGTCCATTTGACTTCCGAAATGTTCAACTTCTAAAGCATGGCTTCTGATTGGCTGCAGGAAGTTCCTGCAGCCAATCAGAAGCCGTGGAAGCCCTGTCGGACATTCGGCTTCCGAAAGAACATTTGAAAACTGGAACACTTCTTTCCAGTTTTTGATCCGACTCCCAACGATCAAAACGACCAACGTTTGGGAGCCGAGGTACGACACTACTCCCAATATAAACACTGATTTACTGAAAGCAATGCAGAAAGCTTTCAAACTTCAACAAGTTAGCTAATGACTATAAATTGAAATTAACATTGTAATGCATGGGACTGAGAGTGCGTCTGCAGAGGGATCCTAAATTAAATCCATTAAATTTAAATGTGGGGGCGAGGTGGCATTGGAATTGCTTGGCATTTGATTTCAGCAACATCCGAATACTCTTTGGTAAGTGTTAACAGCATATCATCCTAACAGAATCAATTAGGATGGAGGCAGGTGGCAGGATGGATGAGTTGGTGAATGACTGTAAGAATGAGGGAGTGAAGTTAGGCTAGGACAGGCATAGGCAAACCCGGCCCTCCAGATGTTTTGGGACTACTACATCCCTAGCTAACAGGACCGGTGGTCAGGGATGATGGGAATTGTAGTCCCAAAACATCTGGAGGGCCGAGTTTGCCTATGCCTGGTTAAGTCCTTTCCTCTGCGTGCTGCAGTCCCAATGAACCACAACCATCCCTTGAGAGCATTTCAGGTGTGGTATTTAGCACTAACTAGAGTCAGACACAACAATTCTAACTATAGGAAGCCAGTGTAACTTTCACTTGTTTATGTTACTCCTATTCTAAGCTCCATTCAGGACTGTATGGGACAGGCTACTGCCAGCGGCTGAATGTAGGTCCAAGTTTTAAGGCCTGGGTCCTAGCTCACATAACCTAAGCTGAATTAGATTTGGAAGCTGCATAAGTCTCTCCTTGTCCTGCCACTCCCCCAAAATATGCAACTTAAAATACTCAAATTACCAACCTGGTGAGATACTGCAATGGTGGGGCACTGAGCATCTGAGGAACGGGTTACAGGTAATGGAGGTACAAGGTCTGTTTTTGAACTGAAAAAGAAAACAAATGGCAAGATGTATGGCGCTTACACGTTAAGAAAAGTTTTGGAGTTAAAAAGTTATCTGCACATGAACAGCCATCCTATCAGTGCTTTTCTCTCAGTAATAAATACAACTCAAGGAGATATATAGCTGACTGTTTCTCCTATAGCCCAACTGGAACCCAAACAAGAACAACAATCTTTGTTAGACCCCCAGGATAGGATGGAATTCAATTATTCTAACTTTGAAATGTTCTTAAGTGTTTCTAATTAAGGTTTAACTGCTGATTTACGGCCCTGTGTTCCAAGGGTTGCTTCCCATATTATGATACAAGTGAGGCAGTGACCTCTTTTCCTTTAAGCAACAGAGGAGGAGTAGGAAGAGGCCAAGTGTTTTCATATACTGCCCTGCCCTTTCCTCTAACAGGATAGCACTTCTGATACAAGTGTATTGTGCTTCCGGATATGCAGGAAGGTCCAACATCCTGTTGGCAATGGTGTAGAACAAGCATGTCCAACTCCCAAGAGACTGCGATCTACTCCCACTTTTTTAAAAAAATAGCAGTGATCTACCCATTGGATTTACAAAAGTTGTTGAGCTTTTTTTGTCAATCGTTCAGGATCACAAGATCAACTTGGATCGACCTTGGGCGTCCCACGATCAACCAGTAGATTGTGATTGATCTGTTAGACAGGCCTGGTATAGAAGATTCTAAGCGGAATGAGGAGTTAAGTAACAGGCCAAGGTGCAAACCACTGATCTCTCCCACTCAACTTTTTTTCCTGAGGAGTCAGCCAGGGAACATAAAAGATTTAGCAAGTGCTGCACAATAATTTCGTTAAATTGGCGTTGGGGGTAGGGATAGGTAGCACTAATCATTAAACCACTGGCAAATTAAATACTTGACCTACTTAACTTCTGACAGAACAGATCTCTCTCCGTCAGAGCACTGCGACCGTCGATACTGGCGATAACTTCGAGGGGAGTGGGAATGTCTGATGCGAACAGGGTCGCCTTGAGTCCTAAAGTGGAATTAACATTTCCAGGAGCAGATTAGTATCACAAGGGATTCTCATCAAAAAGAATACAAAAGTTGACAACCCTGGAAAGTTGTTTAACCTCCACGATCAAGTTCATTTGCATCAGGGTTTCCGAACCATAGGTCTCCAGCTGTTTTTGGACTACAACTCCCATCATCCCTAGCTTGCAGGACCAGTGGTCAGGGATGATGGGAAATGTAGTCCAAAAACAGCTGGAGACCCATGGTTGGGAAACCCTGATCTAGTCCAACCCCTTGCAGGAATATAAAGCTGTCCCATATGGGGCTTGAACCTGCAACCTTGGCATTTTCAGCATCATGCTCTAACCAACTAAGCTAAGCTGTGTGGTGTCAACTGTCAAGTGGAATGTTTCAAGTTATGGGAATTGTCATCACCAGTGGTCAGCAATGTTGGGAGCTGCAATCCAAAACAGCTGGAGACCCAAGTTTGGGAAACCCTGATTTATATTAAGAACGTATAGGAAATTGATAAAATTATCAAACAGAATTTCCCCTCCATACAGTACCCTCAGCTCTGAGAATTAAAAAAACCCACAACTAAAAGATCCACACTGAATAAGAAATTCTACCAATTAGTAATATTAGCATTGGTGAGCAAATGTTGCCAGCAAATGTCTTGCCCTATATTCAATTTTCCTTCCCTCTGTAGCCCATCCAAGTAGCCCATCCTTACCCTCTGACTTCTTAGGAAAGAGATTGGTTTCATTTGTATTCCACCTTTCCTCCACGCAACTCAAGGTGGTGTACACAGTTTCCTTTGGGTTAAGCTGCTTAAATGTAAGTAATGCGAGCAAAATTATTAAAAAATATATTGGGGTGTGTGTACACACACAGGCTTAGGTAGGTGTGAGTTGGGGTTGTTTGACTATGGTTCAGACATTGATGACTTCAGGAATGGATTACTGCAATACACTCTGTGTGCATCCTTTGTATTTGGTCTGGAAAGTAGTTAGTACAGAGTGCTGCAGCATGATTTCTGACAGAACCCGTCAGCATGGCTTTTCTTCAGCTGGAACTCACGGAACTCAGTTCCGGCA